GTGTGTGTGTGTGTGTGTGTGTGTGTGTGTGTGTGTGTGTGTGTGTGGATTCCTGTGCTCACGACCACCACTGCGTGCGTGTACACAGGGAGCAAGTGCACGAAATCTTCCAGGACGTGGCCGTGATGGTTCAGGACCAGGGCGAAGTGCTCGGTGCGTCGCAATCACGATGGTTCTTGTGCTGGTGATCCTGCTGCCACTACTGATGCTGCTACTAATACTTACAACGGTGCTCCCTCCGCTCACACGTGTACATCGCTTGCCGTCCCTCCCATCCCCTCCGCCGCTGCTGCAGAGAACATTGAGGCGAACATGCAGGTGACATACGACCGCGTCGACCGCGGTGTCGGCGAGCTCACACACGCGTCCAGATACCAGGTGCGCAGTCTTTGTAGTTGTGGGAACCTGTGTTAGTGTGTGTGTGTGCGTGTGTGTATGTGTATGTGTGTGTGTGTGTGTGTGTGTGTGTGTGTGTGCGTGCGTGTGTGTGGGTGGGTTTTTTGTGTGTGTGTGTGTGCGTGCGTGTGTGTGTGTGTGTGGTCGTATCGCCCACCTACGCGCTCATCCCTCACCCCCCCCCCCAAACTCCACCACCTCCACCTCCACCACGTCGTGTTTTTGACCGCCAGAAATCTGCACGCAACAAGGCCATGTGTCTGCTGGTGATTGTCGTCATTGTTGCCGGCATCCTGGCAGCCATCCTCGTGCCCACACTCAAGAAGAAGTGAAGCAATCGCTGCCCTGCTCATCAATCGTGTCGGCATCAATCATCAGTCATCAGCACCACCACCATCATCATCCATCATTGCCATCATCAATCAGCACCCCGACGCACGCTGTTCCACTGGCACCACCACCACGCCGCGAGCTGTTCTGTCCACGCTACTCGTGCCATTCTGTTCCCGTGTTGCCGTTGTCATCGTGCCCTCCTCCCCATCATGCTCCTTGCAGCCTTTCCAGCACCCACCTTTCTCCGTTCCGACTGGTGTCATGCTGCTTCCACACTTTTCGAACCAGTAGCTGCCGCACAGCGTGCACACGCACCCGCGTTTCCATGTTGCTTTGCGTTTACTTGTGTGCGTGCTCTGTTGGTATCAAACCTCGAACTAAACTCAACCACTCGTGCATGGTCGGGGCTGTCGTGGTCGTGGGTACAGCCCACTTGATGCCGTGGAAAGGAAAAAAAAATGCACGTGGAACATCCAGAAGTGGAAAGCAAGGTGTGGGCGGCAGTGTTGGTCACATCATGCGGCAGGTCGTGTCAAGTGAACATGGATGGCCGAGTTGCGTCGCTTGCTCACAACGGGTGGCGCTTCCTGCAGCATGTGAAGAGACAGACGTGAGTGGATATTGACATGCGGTAGGCGGAATGGGGGTCCAGTTGCAACCGGCTGCACGCACACATAGAGGGAGAGAGGCACAAAAACATACGCGCACACACACACACACAGTTGCACACACACACACACACACACACACACAGTCGCACACACACACAGTCGCACATACACACACACACACAGTTGCGCTCATGCACGCACCAAGTCATCTGATGCAATCTCATCCAACAATCCGACGGTGTCAGTCTCCACGCTCATCTGTCCAAAGAGGAGCAACACCAATGTGAAAAAGAGAAGAAAGGGAGCCACAGACAACAACATCCACAAGAGCTAAGCCATTACGCAGTCATTGCAGGGAAACGTACCGTCAATTGGCCGGCAAACTTCTCCTGGAGTTGCAAGGCAATGTTGATGCAGCGGTTGATCGCAGCACCAAGGCCGTGCAGCGTCACCCTCGCTTCCCTGCAGATCACGGAAACCGGAAAGAGGGGGAAAAACAGATGAGGAGAGGTTCCGAGGTGTGGCGCAGCTCAAACGCAAGCATCGCGGCCTTGCACACGATCCCACACACAACTCACACAACTCACACACGATCTCACAAAAGCACATACTTGAGCTCACACGCACTTGGATTCAAGCAAGCTCATGGCGCGGGCGAGCTGAGCCTCAAAGGCGCTATTCCTTGCAATGTACACGTCTGTAAGGCTCGTTCGAGGCTTAGGCGCAGGCCGCTTTCGTCTCCTGCCACCACCGCCATCGTGTCGCCCACGACCGCCACGCTGCTGCTGTTGCTCCATGATGTTGGTTGTTGGTGCTGTAACCGCGGTGGCGAGTTCGGAAGATTAGCCGAAGGCTTACATAAATTTCAGCACAAGGACCAGCAAGCGGCCACGGCACGCACCAGATGAAGTGTGAGGTGCGGCCCTGAGAATGGATCATGCAACAACCTCGTCAACCAGTGAGCAGCACACACATGACAGAGGAGCTGAGGGGGGAGGGGTGACATCAACCATCACAGCCAATGTATGTGTGTGTGCATGGGGTTGTGTTTCTGCTCATCCTCCTCCTCCTGCCTTCTCCTCCTTTCTGTCTGTGACATGCTGCTCACTATTGCTGTTGTTGTTGCTTGCTTGTTTGTGGTGGTGCGTGCAGATGGATGTATTCCATCATCATCAGCAGCAGCAGCAGCAGCAGGTGCTGGCTGATTCGTGAGGCAGTGGGCAACCCCCACCAACCAACCAACAGGGACTACATGCTGATGGATGAATGGTGATCGAACCACTGCATCACCCAGACAGGTGTGTGTGTGTGTGTGTGTGTGTGTGTGTGTGTGTGTGTGTGTGTGTGTGTGTGTGTTGACGTGCACGTTCTCTTCTCCACCCATCCACACGCCATCATCACCACCTCTTCATTTTCTCGTGTGTTTGCTCACATCCTTCTTCCTTTCCCTCACCTTCAACACCACCACCCTTCTCGTTTGTTTCTTTCTCCTTCCTTTCTGCTGTCGCCACACAGAGGGGCCTTGAGCCACCAGCTGTCACCCCCTCCACCAACCAACCATCACTGCTGTGGTGGGATGAACAAACGGGCGCTGCCATGTGATGACTATCCAGCCACGCTTGTGCGATTGCGGAAACAGCAACAACATCACTAACACACACCACACCACAAAGCAAGCAAGCAAGCGATGAACAACGTGAGTGCATCACTGCAATGTGTGTGTATGCTGCGCACCGCACCAGTATGCGTGTTTTGTGCTCGCTGCCTTTGTTGCTCCTGTCTCCTCTTGTTGTCCCACATCAATGTGTGCATGTGTGTCGTGCGGCTGCCTGTTTTGCCTTGCTTGATGCGCTGTCTCACTTTTCGTTCTCACACAC